AAACCATCTGACGCGCTTGAAGCTATCGATTTGCGCTAGAGGCCGTGGCTTGGAAGGTTTTCAACCGACGGGATAGCTCGGACTGCGCGGTCAACCCACTGATCATCTTTGTGGATTAGCAGACTGCTGGACTGAGATTCGGCCTAAAATATGTCCTCCTTAATGCTGCTTCCATATCATTCCCACTCAGTGAGATTTGAGCCAGATGTGACGGCATGCCTAGGTGATGGTTCCGGCCGCACCTGGTCCCTCTCCCGATTCCTGTCTCCTTAACTTGGTCATGACACTTGGCGCAGGTGGGAGAGGAGGAGAGTGCGGCCTTCTCCAATTGTAAATATAGTCACGCGCCAGTCACCGTCCCTGCCCCACCATTCCGCGGACCACACAGTGGACCTCGTCGAAGTCAACAATCGAACTCTCACGACGACTGTGCAGCCTCGTGTTTGGTTGAGCGATCTCTACATCAAGCCATCATGATGTATCGAGCTCTTTTTGTTGTTTACGAGACCTCTCACTTTGCTGGCGGCCGACTTTCACCTACGTCAACTGCAGCTTTTCTCCTTTCGAGCTGCAATAAATTAATGCTAGTTGACTGGTGGTCATAATTTATTAAGGAGTAGATAAGTATGACATTGAGAAGGAAAAAGTTTCCTTTCTGCTGTGTTTCCTGGGGAAATATTTGATCCATGACCTTGACGCTCACGGTTTTACCTCCGTCCTCCTTTACTGGCTCAGTTGTCTTTCCCTGGTGACCGCTTCCGGTTTTTAACTTTCCCGGGCGCAGCCCGCTAGAGCGACCTGCTTATGGAGTGGAATAGCTTAGCTGTGAGCGTATATGTTCGATTATCCTACACTGTTTGAATTCGCTCCCAAAATGTACCTACTTATATCTTCCGCTGAAGTGTGTGTATGATTGTCTTATAATAAAATGAACGGTTCTGCGTTGCTAGTGCTTCAAATCCTCCTATGTTCCGTACTGGTACCCATGGAAACATTTAAGAAGTCAGGTTCCACAAATGTATCCTTTCGGCTATCTATCATCAGCCTGTACAGTAATATAAGGGAGGGTAG